CCCACACCCACACCCTCACACCCACATCGACACACACCCCACACCCACACCCTCACACCCACGCCCACACCACACCCCCACCCTCACACACACACACCCCACACCCTCACACCCACACCACCCCACACCCACACCCTCACACCAACATCCCACACCCACACTACGATATGGTCATATAATGGGTAGACTCGATTACAAACCTTTCTTATTGACGTTATTCTTTTGAAAGGTGTTTATAAATGTCTCCCATCGTGATCATATAGTCTAATCTATATTACATAGACTATAACGCTGATAGTTTTAGCTTATACCATTAAAGAAGATTTGGCTAAAATTCTGTTTGAATAAATCAAGAACTTTATATTTAACATGTTTCAATTTTCTTAAAAGTAAAACTTGTAGCTTTTTAATGATTAGTAGGTTTGTGGGTCGTTCTATTTTCAAACTATTTGAAATAAATTGATATAGATCAATGGATGCTCTAATTAGAGACCTAAACAGAGCGAGGTAGGACAGAGCAAAATTAAATAGATCTCTAGAAAGCTCGTATTTGCATCAAGATAAAGTCGAGGCGAGGCGAGGCGAAGACGCGGAAACAAAACAAAATAAATAGTGGAGCGGGGAGTGAACCATTTGTCCCGTTTTGGTGTCTGGTTCTCATGTTGAATTCTCAATAAATTATTATAGCCGGTTTTTTTTGATCAAAAAGTGCTTCTATTTTAAAAATAAATTTTCATAAATCGATTATGGTCAGTGCCTTTGTGAACTTATTCTTAAAGTTTACAACTAGTGCATTCGAATATATTTTGATCCTATTCGATTATTATTTTAGCTTGCGAAATGCTTTTACTAATCACTTCTCTAGTTCTGATATGAAGGGTAATAATAATCGGCCGAATTTTTGGCCTACGGCCTACGCGAGTCTAAAAAAATATTATTCGTCTGTTTTTCTGTTCCTATGAATCATCTGCAGAACGAAAATAAAATAACCCATCATTTTCGTAGGCCTACGTAGGCCGTAGGCCAAAAATTCGGCCGATTATTATTATTCTGATATGAATTGTTTTTTACCATAGATGGCGTTGGAAAATAATTTCATTAGTGAAATGGATCGATCGTAAACCTACTCTTTATTAAAAAATTATGCCACTTTTACATATAGAATTTGAACAAATAAAAAAAGATAAAATTCTATAGAACATCAATCTGAAGAATCTATTTCAAATACTGAA